ACAATCATTAAAAACATAAAAGAAGAAAAATTAAATTGGATGGGAGATAGGCACAGGTCATCTACAGGGAGAACTGCTCCCATTATGAATAAGGAAAAACAAAACAAAACAAAACACAGCAACACTTGTGATTATGAGGGGGATGGAATAGTTTCTGAAGGGTCCAAAACTGCTGAACAAATAAACCAATGTCGAAAACAAATGAAAACAAAAATCATGCTTTATGACATTGTAAACAATCCTTTCACTGCTCTGCACTGGTACAGTCCCCTGAAGCACCATCACCTGTCTGGGGTACCAACACCTGCAAGCAGCACCAACCTCTGCACAGGGCACCAGTGGAGACCTGGGAAAGTGGCCCACGCAGGATCACTGTGTTCCATCCACAGCTGAGAATAGGCACAGGGACATGGTCATGCTCTTCAGGTGGGCAAGCAGGGAGGCCAGGAGCAGGACAGCAATGGGAGCAGGCTGCAACATACTGCTCAGGGATGCTGCAGAGCAGCACCAGTACTGCTGAGTCAGGGGACCTGGTGGATCATCCCCCAGAGCTCTGACAATCCCAGAAAAAAAAGATCAAACAGGAACGCAGAACCGGGTAAACAGGAACAGCAGCAAGCAGGACAAAGTTCAATAAGACACAAAAATGTCACAGAGAAAACATAAAGACCGATTTCCACAGGTGCTGTGTCAGGCAGTGCGATGCCAGTCTTAGCACACTAGTGCCTCTCATCACACAACCTCCCTTGGGCACTAGCATGCCAATGGCACGACATTACGGAAAGCCCTTTCTTTTCATACAAATGCAGGGAGAAACAGCAACTAACCTCAGTGAAGGTACAGGGCTTTTCAGTGATAAATGCCACTATCAGCCCAAGCCAACCCTGATTCTGGTGTTTCATGCAGGCTGCAGCATGGGACTACCATGCCCATGGCTGCAGGGACTGCAGCACGTGAGAGGATTTGGTGCATCCAAGAGACCAGCCACACTGAACCATCACCAAAGGCAGAGGATGGGAATTCTGAGTACTCTGCCCCAAGATGAGAGCCATGGCTGAAAAAATTAACCTCCTCACCCCAGACAACCCTCAAATCTACTGTGAAACTTTTCCTGGGCTTTGAAATTTGAGAGCAGACCAAGAGGCTTGTTTATTTGGAATAAGGAGGTGGCCAAGCATCACCAGCACAGCTATTGATGATTCTTGGAAAAAACTGCCAAGTTTGAAGGCAGAAGTTTCTTTGGGATGAAAGCTGCTTTTATGCAGCACTGCAGGCAGGAATTAACCTCATGAGGGATAGCTTGACCCAAGAACAGTTCCTATTTGACTCATGCAGGGTTTTGATTTATGAGATTATTTTTTTATAGCTTAAGTATGAACCTGAGTGAAAGTTCAGAGCTATTAGTTTTGCAGTATAAAAATAACAAACCAATGTCAACCAGCCTCTCTGTAGTTGCTACAATTCCTTTTCTTTTCCTTTTCTTTCACTTGTAGCATAACGTTAAAGACAATTTTTTTGGAGGAACTATACATACTTGAAGCAACCATTTCCTATAAAGTGTAAAGAAGTTAAGTACTTTGTGTGCATACACTTAGACCTCTGTGAATCACCCAGGTGTAGATCCAAGACGCATGCTGTGCAGATGAGAGGAGCAAATCAGCTCCAGCTGGTGCCTAAATGAAACCTGTGTTTTTATGTGGCCTGTCAGTCCT